GGCGTTGCACGACGGCAGGAAGGTAAGAGCATTTATCTGTACTCGATATAAGCATGTGCGTTACAAGCACACATGCAGCCATGAAGAACTTCCAGCAGGCGTTGCACGACGGCAGGAAGGTAAGAGCATTTATCTGTACTCGATATAAGCATGTGCGTTACAAGCACACATGCAGCCATGAAGAACTTCCAGCAGGCGTTGCACGACGGCAGGAAGGTAAGAGCATTTATCTGTACTCGATATAAGCATGTGCGTTACAAGCACACATGCAGCCATGAAGAACTTCCAGCAGGCGTTGCACGACGGCAGGAAGGTAAGAGCATTTATCTGTACTCGATATAAGCATGTGCGTTACAAGCACACATGCAGCCATGAAGAACTTCCAGCAGGCGTTGCACGACGGCAGGAAGGTAAGAGCATTTATCTGTACTCGATATAAGCATGTGCGTTACAAGCACACATGCAGCCATGAAGAACTTCCAGCAGGCGTTGCACGACGGCAGGAAGGTAAGAGCATTTATCTGTACTCGATATAAGCATGTGCGTTACAAGCACACATGCAGCCATGAAGAACTTCCAGCAGGCGTTGCACGACGGCAGGAAGGTAAGAGCATTTATCTGTACTCGATATAAGCATGTGCGTTACAAGCACACATGCAGCCATGAAGAACTTCCAGCAGGCGTTGCACGACGGCAGGAAGGTAAGAGCATTTATCTGTACTCGATATAAGCATGTGCGTTACAAGCACACATGCAGCCATGAAGAACTTCCAGCAGGCGTTGCACGACGGCAGGAAGGTAAGAGCATTTATCTGTACTCGATATAAGCATGTGCGTTACAAGCACACATGCAGCCATGAAGAACTTCCAGCAGGCGTTGCACGACGGCAGGAAGGTAAGAGCATTTATCTGTACTCGATATAAGCATGTGCGTTACAAGCACACATGCAGCCATGAAGAACTTCCAGCAGGCGTTGCACGACGGCAGGAAGGTAAGAGCATTTATCTGTACTCGATATAAGCATGTGCGTTACAAGCACACATGCAGCCATGAAGAACTTCCAGCAGGCGTTGCACGACGGCAGGAAGGTAAGAGCATTTATCTGTACTCGATATAAGCATGTGCGTTACAAGCACACATGCAGCCATGAAGAACTTCCAGCAGGCGTTGCACGACGGCAGGAAGGTAAGAGCATTTATCTGTACTCGATATAAGCATGTGCGTTACAAGCACACATGCAGCCATGAAGAACTTCCAGCAGGCGTTGCACGACGGCAGGAAGGTAAGAGCATTTATCTGTACTCGATATAAGCATGTGCGTTACAAGCACACATGCAGCCATGAAGAACTTCCAGCAGGCGTTGCACGACGGCAGGAAGGTAAGAGCATTTATCTGTACTCGATATAAGCATGTGCGTTACAAGCACACATGCAGCCATGAAGAACTTCCAGCAGGCGTTGCACGACGGCAGGAAGGTAAGAGCATTTATCTGTACTCGATATAAGCATGTGCGTTACAAGCACACATGCAGCCATGAAGAACTTCCAGCAGGCGTTGCACGACGGCAGGAAGGTAAGAGCATTTATCTGTACTCGATATAAGCATGTGCGTTACAAGCACACATGCAGCCATGAAGAACTTCCAGCAGGCGTTGCACGACGGCAGGAAGGTAAGAGCATTTATCTGTACTCGATATAAGCATGTGCGTTACAAGCACACATGCAGCCATGAAGAACTTCCAGCAGGCGTTGCACGACGGCAGGAAGGTAAGAGCATTTATCTGTACTCGATATAAGCATGTGCGTTACAAGCACACATGCAGCCATGAAGAACTTCCAGCAGGCGTTGCACGACGGCAGGAAGGTAAGAGCATTTATCTGTACTCGATATAAGCATGTGCGTTACAAGCACACATGCAGCCATGAAGAACTTCCAGCAGGCGTTGCACGACGGCAGGAAGGTAAGAGCATTTATCTGTACTCGATATAAGCATGTGCGTTACAAGCACACATGCAGCCATGAAGAACTTCCAGCAGGCGTTGCACGATGGCAGGAAGGTAAGAGCATTTATCTGTACTCGATATAAGCATGTGCGTTACAAGCACACATGCAGCCATGAAGAACTTCCAGCAGGCGTTGCACGACGGCAGGAAGGTAAGAGCATTTATCTGTACTCGATATAAGCATGTGCGTTACAAGCACACATGCAGCCATGAAGAACTTCCAGCAGGCGTTGCACGACGGCAGGAAGGTAAGAGCATTTATCTGTACTCGATATAAGCATGTGCGTTACAAGCACACATGCAGCCATGAAGAACTTCCAGCAGGCGTTGCACGACGGCAGGAAGGTAAGAGCATTTATCTGTACTCGATATAAGCATGTGCGTTACAAGCACACATGCAGCCATGAAGAACTTCCAGCAGGCGTTGCACGACGGCAGGAAGGTAAGAGCATTTATCTGTACTCGATATAAGCATGTGCGTTACAAGCACACATGCAGCCATGAAGAACTTCCAGCAGGTGTTGCACGATGGCAGGAAGGTAAGAGCATTTATCTGTACTCGATATAAGCATGTGCGTTACAAGCACACATGCAGCCATGAAGAACTTCCAGCAGGCGTTGCACGATGGCAGGAAGGTAAGAGCATTTATCTGTACTCGATATAAGCATGTGCGTTACAAGCACACATGCAGCCATGAAGAACTTCCAGCAGGCGTTGCACGACGGCAGGAAGGTAAGAGCATTTATCTGTACTCGATATAAGCATGTGCGTTACAAGCACACATGCAGCCATGAAGAACTTCCAGCAGGCGTTGCACGACGGCAGGAAGGTAAGAGCATTTATCTGTACTCGATATAAGCATGTGCGTTACAAGCACACATGCAGCCATGAAGAACTTCCAGCAGGCGTTGCACGACGGCAGGAAGGTAAGAGCATTTATCTGTACTCGATATAAGCATGTGCGTTACAAGCACACATGCAGCCATGAAGAACTTCCAGCAGGCGTTGCACGACGGCAGGAAGGTAAGAGCATTTATCTGTACTCGATATAAGCATGTGCGTTACAAGCACACATGCAGCCATGAAGAACTTCCAGCAGGCGTTGCACGACGGCAGGAAGGTAAGAGCATTTATCTGTACTCGATATAAGCATGTGCGTTACAAGCACACATGCAGCCATGAAGAACTTCCAGCAGGCGTTGCACGACGGCAGGAAGGTAAGAGCATTTATCTGTACTCGATATAAGCATGTGCGTTACAAGCACACATGCAGCCATGAAGAACTTCCAGCAGGCGTTGCACGATGGCAGGAAGGTAAGAGCATTTATCTGTACTCGATATAAGCATGTGCGTTACAAGCACACATGCAGCCATGAAGAACTTCCAGCAGGTGTTGCACGATGGCAGGAAGGTAAGAGCATTTATCTGTACTCGATATAAGCATGTGCGTTACAAGCACACATGCAGCCATGAAGAACTTCCAGCAGGCGTTGCACGATGGCAGGAAGGTAAGAGCATTTATCTGTACTCGATATAAGCATGTGCGTTACAAGCACACATGCAGCCATGAAGAACTTCCAGCAGGCGTTGCACGACGGCAGGAAGGTAAGAGCATTTATCTGTACTCGATATAAGCATGTGCGTTACAAGCACACATGCAGCCATGAAGAACTTCCAGCAGGCGTTGCACGACGGCAGGAAGGTAAGAGCATTTATCTGTACTCGATATAAGCATGTGCGTTACAAGCACACATGCAGCCATGAAGAACTTCCAGCAGGCGTTGCACGACGGCAGGAAGGTAAGAGCATTTATCTGTACTCGATATAAGCATGTGCGTTACAAGCACACATGCAGCCATGAAGAACTTCCAGCAGGCGTTGCACGATGGCAGGAAGGTAAGAGCATTTATCTGTACTCGATATAAGCATGTGCGTTACAAGCACACATGCAGCCATGAAGAACTTCCAGCAGGTGTTGCACGATGGCAGGAAGGTAAGAGCATTTATCTGTACTCGATATAAGCATGTGCGTTACAAGCACACATGCAGCCATGAAGAACTTCCAGCAGGCGTTGCACGATGGCAGGAAGGTAAGAGCATTTATCTGTACTCGATATAAGCATGTGCGTTACAAGCACACATGCAGCCATGAAGAACTTCCAGCAGGCGTTGCACGACGGCAGGAAGGTAAGAGCATTTATCTGTACTCGATATAAGCATGTGCGTTACAAGCACACATGCAGCCATGAAGAACTTCCAGCAGGCGTTGCACGACGGCAGGAAGGTAAGAGCATTTATCTGTACTCGATATAAGCATGTGCGTTACAAGCACACATGCAGCCATGAAGAACTTCCAGCAGGCGTTGCACGACGGCAGGAAGGTAAGAGCATTTATCTGTACTCGATATAAGCATGTGCGTTACAAGCACACATGCAGCCATGAAGAACTTCCAGCAGGCGTTGCACGACGGCAGGAAGGTAAGAGCATTTATCTGTACTCGATATAAGCATGTGCGTTACAAGCACACATGCAGCCATGAAGAACTTCCAGCAGGCGTTGCACGACGGCAGGAAGGTAAGAGCATTTATCTGTACTCGATATAAGCATGTGCGTTACAAGCACACATGCAGCCATGAAGAACTTCCAGCAGGCGTTGCACGATGGCAGGAAGGTAAGAGCATTTATCTGTACTCGATATAAGCATGTGCGTTACAAGCACACATGCAGCCATGAAGAACTTCCAGCAGGCGTTGCACGACGGCAGGAAGGTAAGAGCATTTATCTGTACTCGATATAAGCATGTGCGTTACAAGCACACATGCAGCCATGAAGAACTTCCAGCAGGCGTTGCACGACGGCAGGAAGGTAAGAGCATTTATCTGTACTCGATATAAGCATGTGCGTTACAAGCACACATGCAGCCATGAAGAACTTCCAGCAGGCGTTGCACGATGGCAGGAAGGTAAGAGCATTTATCTGTACTCGATATAAGCATGTGCGTTACAAGCACACATGCAGCCATGAAGAACTTCCAGCAGGCGTTGCACGACGGCAGGAAGGTGAGTGCACTTGTCTATTTTCGTTATAAGCGCGTGCGGTACAAGCACACGTGTAGCTTTGAAGAATTTCGAGCTGACATTGTATGAAGGCAGGAAGGTGAGTTTGTGTGTGTACTCGTTATAAGCCCTCGTATTAGACTGTTATAGGCTTTTTTTTTTAGTGTGTACCATGTCCCTGTTCCCCATCCCCATCGCTCGCTACTTTCCACTACATTCCTTACACCGCTTTCCACCGCTTTCCACCACTTTTCACTGCTTCTGCAGGCGCTGCAGCTGCAGCCACGGTGAGTTGCAACAAGATGCGTCTCCTTTCATTCCCACATATCCTCCCTTTCTTTTCACCCTCTCCCCGCCTTTGTCACCCCTCTGCACCGCTTTCCACCCCATATCCAGGCACTGCAGCTGCAGCCGCGGTGGGCCAAGGCGTACTCTCGCATTGCAGTGGCGCATTACGGGATGAAACAGTATGTGGAGGTGAGATGAAACCTGAAACTGTACGTGGAGTAAAGATGAAACACTGTGTGGAGGTGAGATGAAACTGTATGAAGAGATGAGATGAAACAGTATGTACAGGTGAGATGAAACAGTATCGAGAGATGATTTGAAGTTGTAATGCTGTATTGCAGTGGTGTACTAAACTGTACATAGAGGTGAGATGAAACTGTGCTGGGAGGAGTGTGGAAACTCTATTGAGAGGTGTATTGAAACTGCTGAGAGAGGTGAGTTGAAACTCTACCGAAAGAGGTGGATTGAAACTGTACCGGTGAATTGGATCGAGTGACGAACAATTTAAACTGCACAAACTGTTTCGGTTCAACTGCACTTACCCCCTCTCTCCTCTCTCTCTCCCTGCTTGGATATCACTGCAGGCAGCAGCAGCATACGAGAAGGGGCTGAAGTGTGACCCTCTCAGCACCGTGTGCAGGCAAGGGCTGCAACAGGTGAGCAGCCGTCAGAAGTGAGACAAGTAAGAGGTGCGTCAAAACAGGTGAGCAACTGTCACGCTAACTGTGACCCTCTCAGCTCCGTGTGCAAGCACGGGTTGCAACAGGTGTGCAACAGCCACACTCCGCAACTGATTGTCGTGTCAACTAGGAACCAGTCTCCACATTCCTCTTGTGTCAGTCAGTAGAGATAAACACCACTTCTGTGAGACGGCTCAAAAGAGATGAGAAGGAGGCAAGACTGGAAAGCACACGTATTAGAGTTGAAAGTTGAGAGTTGATCCATAACCTTGTACCATTTCCCAATTGCAGACACGGGAGAGGTGGCAGCAGGAGGATGAGAAGGAGGCCAAGAGTGGGAAGCACTTGAGTATTGAAAGCTGCCCCACATGATGACTTACGTAGTGTATCTGTCTGTGTAACTGCCACTTGTGCTGTGTGTTGCCACTCCAGGCGCGGGAGAGGTGGCAGCAGGAGGATGAGAAGGAGGCCAAGAGTGGGAAGCACACGTTTCGCAAGCGGAAAACAGCAGAGGGGGGGGCGAAAGGGGACGGGAAGGGGGGAGATGCGCTGGTAAGGAAAGGATGGGGAGAGGGGGAAAGGGGGGGGGAGTTGGGGGAAGAAGTGATTGATAGGCTTAGAGGGAACTGACAGGCGGGAATGGGGCAAGGGGCATGCAGGCATGGAGTGAGGGGCGAGCAGGAATGGGGATGGGAGGCATGGGTAACATGGGAGAAGTGGAAAACGGAAAACACAAGGCAGGAGCTACACAATCCCTGGCACAGCCTTCTCATCCCTGGCACAGCCTTCTCATCCCTGCCACAGCCTTCTCATCCCTGGCACAGCCTTCTCATCCCTGGCACAGCCTTCTCATCCCTGCCACAGCCTTCTCATCCCTGGCACAGCCTTCTCATCCCTGGCACAGCCTTCTCATCCCTGCCACAGCCTTCTCATCCCTGGCACAGCCTTCTCATCCCTGGCACAGCCTTCTCATCCCTGCCACAGCCTTCTCATCCCTGCCACAGCCTTCTCATCCCTGCCACAGCCTTCTCATCCCTGCCACAGCCTTCTCATCCCTGGCACAGCCTTCTCATCCCTGGCACAGCCTTCTCATCCCTGGCACAGCCTTCTCATCCCTGCCACAGCCTTCTCATCCCTGCCACAGCCTTCTCATCCCTGGCACAGCCTTCTCATCCCTGCCACAGCCTTCTCATCCCTGGCACAGCCTTCTCATCCCTGGCACAGCCTTCTCATCCCTGCCACAGCCTTCTCATCCCTGGCACAGCCTTCTCATCCCTGGCACAGCCTTCTCATCCCTGGCACAGCCTTCTCATCCCTGCCACAGCCTTCTCATCCCTGGCACAGCCTTCTCATCCCTGGCACAGCCTTCTCATCCCTGGCACAGCCTTCTCATCCCTGGCACAGCCTTCTCATCCCTGGCACAGCCTTCTCATCCCTGGCACAGCCTTCTCATCCCTGGCACAGCCTTCTCATCCCTGCCACAGCCTTCTCATCCCTGGCACAGCCTTCTCATCCCTGCCACAGCCTTCTCATCCCTGCCACAGCCTTCTCATCCCTGCCACAGCCTTCTCATCCCTGGCACAGCCTTCTCATCCCTGGCACAGCCTTCTCATCCCTGGCACAGCCTTCTCATCCCTGGCACAGCCTTCTCATCCCTGGCACAGCCTTCTCATCCCTGGCACAGCCTTCTCATCCCTGGCACAGCCTTCTCATCCCTGGCACAGCCTTCTCATCCCTGGCACAGCCTTCTCATCCCTGGCACAGCCTTCTCATCCCTGGCACAGCCTTCTCATCCCTGCCACAGCCTTCTCATCCCTGGCACAGCCTTCTCATCCCTGGCACAGCCTTCTCATCCCTGCCACAGCCTTCTCATCCCTGGCACAGCCTTCTCATCCCTGCCACAGCCTTCTCATCCCTGGCACAGCCTTCTCATCCCTGGCACAGCCTTCTCATCCCTGGCACAGCCTTCTCATCCCTGGCACAGCCTTCTCATCCCTGCCACAGCCTTCTCATCCCTGCCACAGCCTTCTCATCCCTGGCACAGCCTTCTCATCCCTGGCACAGCCTTCTCATCCCTGCCACAGCCTTCTCATCCCTGGCACAGCCTTCTCATCCCTGGCACAGCCTTCTCATCCCTGCCACAGCCTTCTCATCCCTGGCACAGCCTTCTCATCCCTGGCACAGCCTTCTCATCCCTGGCACAGCCTTCTCATCCCTGGCACAGCCTTCTCATCCCTGCCACAGCCTTCTCATCCCTGCCACAGCCTTCTCATCCCTGGCACAGCCTTCTCATCCCTGGCACAGCCTTCTCATCCCTGGCACAGCCTTCTCATCCCTGGCACAGCCTTCTCATCCCTGCCACAGCCTTCTCATCCCTGGCACAGCCTTCTCATCCCTGGCACAGCCTTCTCATCCCTGGCACAGCCTTCTCATCCCTGCCACAGCCTTCTCATCCCTGGCACAGCCTTCTCATCCCTGGCACAGCCTTCTCATCCCTGGCACAGCCTTCTCATCCCTGGCACAGCCTTCTCATCCCTGGCACAGCCTTCTCATCCCTGGCACAGCCTTCTCATCCCTGGCACAGCCTTCTCATCCCTGGCACAGCCTTCTCATCCCTGCCACAGCCTTCTCATCCCTGGCACAGCCTTCTCATCCCTGGCACAGCCTTCTCATCCCTGGCACAGCCTTCTCATCCCTGCCACAGCCTTCTCATCCCTGCCACAGCCTTCTCATCCCTGGCACAGCCTTCTCATCCCTGGCACAGCCTTCTCATCCCTGGCACAGCCTTCTCATCCCTGGCACAGCCTTCTCATCCCTGGCACAGCCTTCTCATCCCTGGCACAGCCTTCTCATCCCTGGCACAGCCTTCTCATCCCTGGCACAGCCTTCTCATCCCTGGCACAGCCTTCTCATCCCTGGCACAGCCTTCTCATCCCTGCCACAGCCTTCTCATCCCTGGCACAGCCTTCTCATCCCTGGCACAGCCTTCTCATCCCTGCCACAGCCTTCTCATCCCTGGCACAGCCTTCTCATCCCTGCCACAGCCTTCTCATCCCTGGCACAGCCTTCTCATCCCTGGCACAGCCTTCTCATCCCTGGCACAGCCTTCTCATCCCTGGCACAGCCTTCTCATCCCTGCCACAGCCTTCTCATCCCTGCCACAGCCTTCTCATCCCTGGCACAGCCTTCTCATCCCTGCCACAGCCTTCTCATCCCTGGCACAGCCTTCTCATCCCTGGCACAGCCTTCTCATCCCTGCCACAGCCTTCTCATCCCTGGCACAGCCTTCTCATCCCTGCCACAGCCTTCTCATCCCTGCCACAGCCTTCTCATCCCTGCCACAGCCTTCTCATCCCTGCCACAGCCTTCTCATCCCTGGCACAGCCTTCTCATCCCTGCCACAGCCTTCTCATCCCTGGCACAGCCTTCTCATCCCTGCCACAGCCTTCTCATCCCTGGCACAGCCTTCTCATCCCTGCCACAGCCTTCTCATCCCTGGCACAGCCTTCTCATCCCTGGCACAGCCTTCTCATCCCTGCCACAGCCTTCTCATCCCTGGCACAGCCTTCTCATCCCTGCCACAGCCTTCTCATCCCTGGCACAGCCTTCTCATCCCTGGCACAGCCTTCTCATCCCTGGCACAGCCTTCTCATCCCTGGCACAGCCTTCTCATCCCTGCCACAGCCTTCTCATCCCTGCCACAGCCTTCTCATCCCTGGCACAGCCTTCTCATCCCTGCCACAGCCTTCTCATCCCTGGCACAGCCTTCTCATCCCTGGCACAGCCTTCTCATCCCTGCCACAGCCTTCTCATCCCTGGCACAGCCTTCTCATCCCTGCCACAGCCTTCTCATCCCTGCCACAGCCTTCTCATCCCTGGCACAGCCTTCTCATCCCTGGCACAGCCTTCTCATCCCTGGCACAGCCTTCTCATCCCTGCCACAGCCTTCTCATCCCTGGCACAGCCTTCTCATCCCTGGCACAGCCTTCTCATCCCTGCCACAGCCTTCTCATCCCTGCCACAGCCTTCTCATCCCTGGCACAGCCTTCTCATCCCTGGCACAGCCTTCTCATCCCTGGCACAGCCTTCTCATCCCTGGCACAGCCTTCTCATCCCTGGCACAGCCTTCTCATCCCTGGCACAGCCTTCTCATCCCTGGCACAGCCTTCTCATCCCTGGCACAGCCTTCTCATCCCTGGCACAGCCTTCTCATCCCTGGCACAGCCTTCTCATCCCTGGCACAGCCTTCTCATCCCTGCCACAGCCTTCTCATCCCTGGCACAGCCTTCTCATCCCTGCCACAGCCTTCTCATCCCTGGCACAGCCTTCTCATCCCTGGCACAGCCTTCTCATCCCTGCCACAGCCTTCTCATCCCTGGCACAGCCTTCTCATCCCTGGCACAGCCTTCTCATCCCTGGCACAGCCTTCTCATCCCTGCCACAGCCTTCTCATCCCTGCCACAGCCTTCTCATCCCTGGCACAGCCTTCTCATCCCTGCCACAGCCTTCTCATCCCTGGCACAGCCTTCTCATCCCTGGCACAGCCTTCTCATCCCTGCCACAGCCTTCTCATCCCTGGCACAGCCTTCTCATCCCTGCCACAGCCTTCTCATCCCTGCCACAGCCTTCTCATCCCTGGCACAGCCTTCTCATCCCTGCCACAGCCTTCTCATCCCTGGCACAGCCTTCTCATCCCTGCCACAGCCTTCTCATCCCTGGCACAGCCTTCTCATCCCTGGCACAGCCTTCTCATCCCTGCCACAGCCTTCTCATCCCTGCCACAGCCTTCTCATCCCTGGCACAGCCTTCTCATCCCTGGCACAGCCTTCTCATCCCTGGCACAGCCTTCTCATCCCTGGCACAGCCTTCTCATCCCTGGCACAGCCTTCTCATCCCTGGCACAGCCTTCTCATCCCTGGCACAGCCTTCTCATCCCTGGCACAGCCTTCTCATCCCTGGCACAGCCTTCTCATCCCTGGCACAGCCTTCTCATCCCTGGCACAGCCTTCTCATCCCTGGCACAGCCTTCTCATCCCTGCCACAACCTTCTCATCCCTGCCACAGCCTTCTCATCCCTGGCACAGCCTTCTCATCCCTGGCACAGCCTTCTCATCCCTGGCACAGCCTTCTCATCCCTGCCACAGCCTTCTCATCCCTGGCACAGCCTTCTCATCCCTGCCACAGCCTTCTCATCCCTGGCACAGCCTTCTCATCCCTGGCACAGCCTTCTCATCCCTGCCACAGCCTTCTCATCCCTGGCACAGCCTTCTCATCCCTGCCACAGCCTTCTCATCCCTGGCACAGCCTTCTCATCCCTGCCACAGCCTTCTCATCCCTGCCACAGCCTTCTCATCCCTGGCACAGCCTTCTCATCCCTGGCACAGCCTTCTCATCCCTGGCACAGCCTTCTCATCCCTGGCACAGCCTTCTCATCCCTGGCACAGCCTTCTCATCCCTGCCACAGCCTTCTCATCCCTGGCACAGCCTTCTCATCCCTGCCACAGCCTTCTCATCCCTGGCACAGCCTTCTCATCCCTGCCACAGCCTTCTCATCCCTGCCACAGCCTTCTCATCCCTGGCACAGCCTTCTCATCCCTGGCACAGCCTTCTCATCCCTGGCACAGCCTTCTCATCCCTGGCACAGCCTTCTCATCCCTGGCACAGCCTTCTCATCCCTGGCACAGCCTTCTCATCCCTGGCACAGCCTTCTCATCCCTGGCACAGCCTTCTCATCCCTGCCACAGCCTTCTCATCCCTGGCACAGCCTTCTCATCCCTGGCACAGCCTTCTCATCCCTGGCACAGCCTTCTCATCCCTGGCACAGCCTTCTCATCCCTGCCACAGCCTTCTCATCCCTGGCACAGCCTTCTCATCCCTGCCACAGCCTTCTCATCCCTGGCACAGCCTTCTCATCCCTGCCACAGCCTTCTCATCCCTGGCACAGCCTTCTCATCCCTGGCACAGCCTTCTCATCCCTGGCACAGCCTTCTCATCCCTGGCACAGCCTTCTCATCCCTGCCACAGCCTTCTCATCCCTGGCACAGCCTTCTCATCCCTGGCACAGCCTTCTCATCCCTGCACAGCCTTCTCATCCCTGCCACAGCCTTCTCATCCCTGGCACAGCCTTCTCATCCCTGGCACAGCCTTCTCATCCCTGGCACAGCCTTCTCATCCCTGGCACAGCCTTCTCATCCCTGGCACAGCCTTCTCATCCCTGCCACAGCCTTCTCATCCCTGGCACAGCCTTCTCATCCCTGGCACAGCCTTCTCATCCCTGGCACAGCCTTCTCATCCCTGGCACAGCCTTCTCATCCCTGCCACAGCCTTCTCATCCCTGCCACAGCCTTCTCATCCCTGGCACAGCCTTCTCATCCCTGGCACAGCCTTCTCATCCCTGGCACAGCCTTCTCATCCCTGGCACAGCCTTCTCATCCCTGCCACAGCCTTCTCATCCCTGGCACAGCCTTCTCATCCCTGGCACAGCCTTCTCATCCCTGCCACAGCCTTCTCATCCCTGGCACAGCCTTCTCATCCCTGCCACAGCCTTCTCATCCCTGGCACAGCCTTCTCATCCCTGGCACAGCCTTCTCATCCCTGGCACAGCCTTCTCATCCCTGCCACAGCCTTCTCATCCCTGGCACAGCCTTCTCATCCCTGCCACAGCCTTCTCATCCCTGGCACAGCCTTCTCATCCCTGCCACAGCCTTCTCATCCCTGCCACAGCCTTCTCATCCCTGGCACAGCCTTCTCATCCCTGCCACAGCCTTCTCATCCCTGGCACAGCCTTCTCATCCCTGGCACAGCCTTCTCATCCCTGCCACAGCCTTCTCATCCCTGCCACAGCCTTCTCATCCCTGGCACAGCCTTCTCATCCCTGCCACAGCCTTCTCATCCCTGGCACAGCCTTCTCATCCCTGCCACAGCCTTCTCATCCCTGGCACAGCCTTCTCATCCCTGGCACAGCCTTCTCATCCCTGGCACAGCCTTCTCATCCCTGGCACAGCCTTCTCATCCCTGCCACAGCCTTCTCATCCCTGCCACAGCCTTCTCATCCCTGGCACAGCCTTCTCATCCCTGCCACAGCCTTCTCATCCCTGGCACAGCCTTCTCATCCCTGGCACAGCCTTCTCATCCCTGCCACAGCCTTCTCATCCCTGGCACAGCCTTCTCATCCCTGCCACAGCCTTCTCATCCCTGGCACAGCCTTCTCATCCCTGGCACAGCCTTCTCATCCCTGCCACAGCCTTCTCATCCCTGGCACAGCCTTCTCATCCCTGGCACAGCCTTCTCATCCCTGGCACAGCCTTCTCATCCCTGGCACAGCCTTCTCATCCCTGCCACAGCCTTCTCATCCCTGCCACAGCCTTCTCATCCCTGGCACAGCCTTCTCATCCCTGCCACAGCCTTCTCATCCCTGGCACAGCCTTCTCATCCCTGGCACAGCCTTCTCATCCCTGCCACAGCCTTCTCATCCCTGGCACAGCCTTCTCATCCCTGCCACAGCCTTCTCATCCCTGGCACAGCCTTCTCATCCCTGCCACAGCCTTCTCATCCCTGCCACAGCCTTCTCATCCCTGCCACAGCCTTCTCATCCCTGGCACAGCCTTCTCATCCCTGGCACAGCCTTCTCATCCCTGGCACAGCCTTCTCATCCCTGGCACAGCCTTCTCATCCCTGCCACAGCCTTCTCATCCCTGGCACAGCCTTCTCATCCCTGGCACAGCCTTCTCATCCCTGGCACAGCCTTCTCATCCCTGGCACAGCCTTCTCATCCCTGCCACAGCCTTCTCATCCCTGCCACAGCCTTCTCATCCCTGGCACAGCCTTCTCATCCCTGGCACAGCCTTCTCATCCCTGGCACAGCCTTCTCATCCCTGGCACAGCCTTCTCATCCCTGCCACAGCCTTCTCATCCCTGGCACAGCCTTCTCATCCCTGGCACAGCCTTCTCATCCCTGCCACAGCCTTCTCATCCCTGGCACAGCCTTCTCATCCCTGCCACAGCCTTCTCATCCCTGGCACAGCCTTCTCATCCCTGGCACAGCCTTCTCATCCCTGCCACAGCCTTCTCATCCCTGGCACAGCCTTCTCATCCCTGGCACAGCCTTCTCATCCCTGGCACAGCCTTCTCATCCCTGCCACAGCCTTCTCATCCCTGGCACAGCCTTCTCATCCCTGGCACAGCCTTCTCATCCCTGGCACAGCCTTCTCATCCCTGGCACAGCCTTCTCATCCCTGGCACAGCCTTCTCATCCCTGGCACAGCCTTCTCATCCCTGGCACAGCCTTCTCATCCCTGGCACAGCCTTCTCATCCCTGCCACAGCCTTCTCATCCCTGCCACAGCCTTCTCATCCCTGCCACAGCCTTCTCATCCCTGGCACAGCCTTCTCATCCCTGCCACAGCCTTCTCATCCCTGGCACAGCCTTCTCATCCCTGGCACAGCCTTCTCATCCCTGCCACAGCCTTCTCATCCCTGGCACAGCCTTCTCATCCCTGCCACAGCCTTCTCATCCCTGGCACAGCCTTCTCATCCCTGCCACAGCCTTCTCATCCCTGCCACAGCCTTCTCATCCCTGGCACAGCCTTCTCATCCCTGGCACAGCCTTCTCATCCCTGGCACAGCCTTCTCATCCCTGCCACAGCCTTCTCATCCCTGGCACAGCCTTCTCATCCCTGGCACAGCCTTCTCATCCCTGGCACAGCCTTCTCATCCCTGGCACAGCCTTCTCATCCCTGCCACAGCCTTCTCATCCCTGCCACAGCCTTCTCATCCCTGGCACAGCCTTCTCATCCCTGGCACAGCCTTCTCATCCCTGGCACAGCCTTCTCATCCCTGGCACAGCCTTCTCATCCCTGCCACAGCCTTCTCATCCCTGGCACAGCCTTCTCATCCCTGCCACAGCCTTCTCATCCCTGGCACAGCCTTCTCATCCCTGCCACAGCCTTCTCATCCCTGGCACAGCCTTCTCATCCCTGGCACAGCCTTCTCATCCCTGCCACAGCCTTCTCATCCCTGGCACAGCCTTCTCATCCCTGGCACAGCCTTCTCATCCCTGGCACAGCCTTCTCATCCCTGCCACAGCCTTCTCATCCCTGGCACAGCCTTCTCATCCCTGGCACAGCCTTCTCATCCCTGGCACAGCCTTCTCATCCCTGGCACAGCCTTCTCATCCCTGGCACAGCCTTCTCATCCCTGGCACAGCCTTCTCATCCCTGGCACAGCCTTCTCATCCCTGGCACAGCCTTCTCATCCCTGCCACAGCCTTCTCATCCCTGCCACAGCCTTCTCATCCCTGCCACAGCCTTCTCATCCCTGGCACAGCCTTCTCATCCCTGCCACAGCCTTCTCATCCCTGGCACAGCCTTCTCATCCCTGGCACAGCCTTCTCATCCCTGCCACAGCCTTCTCATCCCTGCCACAGCCTTCTCATCCCTGCCACAGCCTTCTCATCCCTGGCACAGCCTTCTCATCCCTGCCACAGCCTTCTCATCCCTGCCACAGCCTTCTCATCCCTGCCACAGCCTTCTCATCCCTGGCACAGCCTTCTCATCCCTGGCACAGCCTTCTCATCCCTGGCACAGCCTTCTCATCCCTGGCACAGCCTTCTCATCCCTGGCACAGCCTTCTCATCCCTGGCACAGCCTTCTCATCCCTGGCACAGCCTTCTCATCCCTGGCACAGCCTTCTCATCCCTGGCACAGCCTTCTCATCCCTGGCACAGCCTTCTCATCCCTGGCACAGCCTTCTCATCCCTGGCACAGCCTTCTCATCCCTGCCACAGCCTTCTCATCCCTGCCACAGCCTTCTCATCCCTGGCACAGCCTTCTCATCCCTGGCACAGCCTTCTCATCCCTGGCACAGCCTTCTCATCCCTGCCACAGCCTTCTCATCCCTGGCACAGCCTTCTCATCCCTGCCACAGCCTTCTCATCCCTGGCACAGCCTTCTCATCCCTGGCACAGCCTTCTCATCCCTGCCACAGCCTTCTCATCCCTGGCACAGCCTTCTCATCCCTGGCACAGCCTTCTCATCCCTGGTACAGCCTTCTCATCCCTGCCACAGCCTTCTCATCCCTGGCACAGCCTTCTCATCCCTGGCACAGCCTTCTCATCCCTGGCACAGCCTTCTCATCCCTGCCACAGCCTTCTCATCCCTGGCACAGCCTTCTCATCCCTGGCACAGCCTTCTCATCCCTGGCACAGCCTTCTCATCCCTGGCACAACCTTCTCATCCCTCCTCGCCTTCGCCCCCTCCCCCTCCCAACCGTCCCCCTCCTGTCGCCCTCCCCCTCTCTCGCCACCTTCTTTTCCCCTCCCCTTCCGCCCGCCTCCTCTCCCCTTCCTCCATGCGAGCACCAACCTCCAGCACACACACTGCTCTATCCTTATCCTTTTCCTTCCGCCCGCCTCCTCTCCCCTTATCCTTCCTTTTCCGTAAGCTCCAGCTTAGAATCTTGATGGTTGTATGCCGTTCATCATGCCTGCGTGCTTGCTTCATGCCAGCAGCCCACCATCACTGCTGCACACTTGCCTGCACACAGTTGGCAGCACACAGTTGGCAGCACACAGTTGGCAGCACACAGTTGGCAGCACACAGTTGGCAGCACACAGTTGGCAGTACATTTACCCGAAACGTATTCCCACACATCTGCCAGTATAGATTGCTCACGCACTTGCCAGCACTCGTGCCAAAAACACTTGCCAGCACTCGTGCCAAAAACACTTGCCAGCACTCGTGCCAAAAACACTTGCCAGCACTCGTGCCAAAAACACTTGCCAGCACTCGTGCCAAAAACACTTGCCAGCACTCGTGCCAAAAACACTTGCCAGCACTCGTGCCAAAAACACTTGCCAGCACTCGTGCCAAAAACACTTGCCAGCACTCGTGCCAAAAACACTTGCCAGCACTCGTGCCAAAAACACTTGCCAGCACTCGTGCCAAAAACTCTTGCCAGCACTCGTGCCAAAAACACTTGCCAGCACTCGTGCCAAAAACACTTGCCAGCACTCGTGCCAAAAACACTTGCCAGCACTCGTGCCAAAAACACTTGCCAGCACTCGTGCCCAAAACACTTGCCAGCACTCGTGCCAAAAACGCTTGCCAGCACTCGTGCCAATACAATTGCTCACACATTGCGAACACATCAAGCTCTCATTGCTTCACCGCCCAGATCTCTTTTAACTTGTTGATTGATTCGCTTCACACCGCCACTGCCTATTGTTCTCCTCCTCATGACCTGCAGGGAGGGAAGAACCAAAAGAAGGCGAGTGGAGGGCAGATGACCACACAGAAGGGGGTTGGTTCACTGTTATCATTTGACGAGGAGACAGAGACTGAATAGATGTTTAATGCACTGGTCTTCAACCGACTAGTAGAACCAAATTGAGTAAATGTTCTGCTGTATGGACTGGTATTCTGTTCAGTTGGATGCTTTTTTCCCCAAAGGAAGTCTGCGCATTTCATGTTTATGTTACTGACGATTTGTAGAACGCCAAAACTTGCCAACGGTTCTGGTCCGACCCTCCCCTTGTGCTCTCACCCCACCACCCGAATCCGCCGCCACCACCTTGGGCATTTGCGGGCTATGGTATGTTCCTTTCTGACGGGTTTCAAAAGATGACGGCCGTCCCATTTTGGGGCTGACGGTGGAAGAAGCAATGGTGACAATGTGATGTTTCGGATGCCCTGGTCAGGTCTGTTTACAATATCTGAAGGCCTCTCCATTTGATATTTATCATACCGTAAAGTGATGTTCGTCAACTTCGTAGACTAGAGCCATCTAAACATCTCTTGAGTAACAATGTTTTCCTTTGTAGAATTTGTACTACACTGTACTGCTCTCGGTGGCTTTCTTCAGACTGTACATAGTTACGAGACGACTATTATATAACATTAGTTGCCTCAGCATTTCCCGCTGCCCCAAGAACTTGGCAAGTCTGCCGTTCCCCTCTCGCAGGCGTAGGAAGATTGCCCGAAGATTTTTCGCTCTCCTTATTCGGCCTCCATTTCCAGGTCAGGATGAATTTGTGGATTTCCCAACTGAAAATCTCATTTTGACGAATCAAATGCTAGGGCATGCTCGTGCACGCCTGAGAGGCGTCCAGCGCGACGCGATTCTGTAGGTGCTCAAAAAATGGCGGTGGAGAAAGGACCACCACCACCAATCCAGGACGACGAAACCTCGTGTTGATAGCATTCCTTCTTGAATTTTGTCTCCTGCCCTCCGATAGATTCGGCAAGCACCCTTAGGTTACGTCCACGTGTATGGTTTACAGTACAGTACCCTTGCTTGATCACTGTGCCCTAGCTCGCTTATCCTCCTGAAGTTGGTTACTTCAGGAAGGCACGTAGTGTATTTCTTCGATCCACGCACTTTGCCACCACGGAATTCTCAAGGCAAACCTTATGATGTCCATGACAGCACATACAGCACAAGCACAAGGATCAACAATACAGTGTTTGGGGCAGCTACTATATTTCTTCCCGGTTGGCCCTACAGTTGTATCAGACAGACAATCTCACAACAAAGGATGCCATCGCTGCGTCGATCTAATGATTCGCTGTGCCAGATTTTCTTGAATGTTTGGTTCGGGACGGTCCACGGACGACTTTCCGCCGCTCCGCGATGCACTTCGACCAAAAATTGATCGCCGCATCCACGGCATTCAGAATCGGGGTCAAGACGCGCGTCAGCTTGGCGATAAAGTTTAATCTGGTAGCACGCCGATGGTTGACACGGGCGGCAAGTGGACACGATTGTTTCTCTTCGAAACGAGCGCACACTGTTCAGTCGTTCCAAAGTTGTGCCGACCCCCTTGTTAGATTCGGAATCCACACTCCCCGAATCTTGCTGCTTCTGCACCGCACGCGCGCGAGTTCCCTCCAAGTTTTAAGGGGCGAGAGAGGGGGAAAACGTGGTTGAGTTGAAGGGAAATGGGGGGGATGAACCATTTGAAGTGGGTGGACGGACGGAGACGAGCGGCAGAGTGAAGCGAGTCTTGAAAGGGAGGGAGAGAATCTGAGGAGGAAGTGGAGGGAGAGAGTGAAAGCGTGGAGGGAGAGAGGGGAGGGAGAGGGGAGGGAGAGAGGGGAGGGAGTATGAGGTGACGGGCTAGGTGGAAAGTGAAGCACTCTTCTTTTGAGCTTGTAAAAGCCAGCATCTCGCTTATTTCCAGATCCATTCGCGCAAAACTCATTCCCCGATCTCAACAACGCGCGTTCTGCTACTAGCTGCGAGTAAACATTCTCACAGAAGCCGCAGATCCGTCTTCACTTAGAAAGGCTTTCACTCTGCAGCGACGCGGCTCGCCTGGATCTGCTATAAACATCCCCGCTGATAACACTACTCCCCCCCGCAGCCGTCATGTCTCGGCGCTGGTCGCGCCGGATGGGTCTTCCGCGCGAGGGCCCGGACAACGCGCGCCACGTCTTCCGCGGAGTGCGCCAGCGCAAGTGGGGCTCCTGGGTGGCGGAAATCAGGCACCCGCACCTCAAATCGCGCGTCTGGCTCGGATCCTTCCGCACGGCGGAAGCTGCTGCTAAGGCGTACGATCGCGCTGCAGCAGAGCATCGCAAAAATGTTGGGGGTGTTGTGAATGGGGTGGTCCATCGGACCACTTTCCTCGATGGTTTCCCATCGTTGTAAGTTGCTGTATATAACCTGTGCCTGCGTTTGGGGGCAACGTGGCAATTTTGGTACCACGATCAACCCTGTTTTGCCCATTCTGCGTGCAATAAAATGTATCTGGCTGCTTCCAGGAATGTGCGATCGTTTGATCCACGGACAAGATTCCAAGCGATTTGTTAAACGGTTTAGATCATGCCTCTGATTGATACCGCTTCTCGCGTCGCACTTCGTGCCGCATTTGTTTCGAAGAGTTGGATGCTCGATGTTTCTTCATTGTTTTTAGACGTTCGATGTATCGAGGATCTACGGCTCAAATGTTCTGGTCGCTGTGGGATTTCCAACGTGGCCCTTTTCTGGAGGGATTCGTTACGTGCCTCTGGTTCATCCCGGTTTATGGGCAGCGCGAAAGTTCTGACTCAGTCTGAACGGCTACTGGCGATATTTCTGTGGGGGTAACGCGAAAAGAGTTTCGTCAACACGCGCTTGCGAAAGAATTCTGGTAATGTTGGCGACCGAGTTTCTGCACAGGACCTGTAAACTAAATCGCCAGGCATGGCAACTGTGTTTGTTGCCTATTTATGAATGTTACAGCAGTGACTGCAGATTCCTATAACAGAATTGGTAGGATAACTGAGTCCAAATTGCAACTCCAAACTTAATAATCAATCGCTTAAAATCTAGCATATGATCGAATTAGGCTAACCCTGCATCCCTTATTACAGACCATATGCAACAACATGGGGAAGAGCGCTTGATTAGATTTGTCTACGTATATTTATTGGATAAGAGCGAGTGATCTGATTCATTTGTAAGTTTTTTGGGATTACACGTGATCATTTAGGTTTGTTTTTTAATACCAAGGTGTGTTTCAAACTCCTCTGTAACTACGAGCAATGTTGCAACAATAGTCTCCAAAAAGAAGATGTGTTGTGAACATTATTGTCTAGTTGTCGACTACAAAAGAGCGAGCGACATGATTCATATGAATGCTGCTTTTTTATTACGTGTTGGTTGTTGTCGTCGTCGTCGCTGCTGCTGTTGTCGCTGATGTCGTTGTCGTCCTTGTTGGCGTCGTCGGTTTCGTTGTCGTCGTCGTCGTCGCCGTCGTGTCGCTGTCGCGTTGTCGTTGTGGTTGTCCTAGCGGTCGTCGTCGTCGTCATCGTCATCGTCGTCGGCGTGGTCGTCGTCGTTGTTGTTTTCGTTATTGACGTTGTTCTTGTCGCCATTCTTGTCGTCGTCGTTGCCGTCGTTGTTGCTGTCGTTGTTGTTGTCGTTGTTGCTGGCGTTGCTGTTGTTGTCGCTGTTGTTGTTGTTGCTGTCGTTGCTGTTGTTGCTGTTGTGATTGTTGCTGTCGTTGCTGATGTCGTTGCTGTTGTCGTCGTTGCTATCGTCGTTATTGTCGGTCGTGGTCGTGGTTAATGTCGTGGTTGTCGTCGTGGTCGTCGTCGTTATCGTCGTCGTTGTTGTCAACGTTGTTGTCGTCGTCGTTTTTGTCGTCGTCGTTGCCGTCGTTGTTGTTGTCGTTGTTGTTGTCGTTGTTGCTGGCGTTGTTGCTGGCGTTGCTGTTGTTGTCGCTGTTGTTGCTGTTGCTGTCGTTGCTGTTGTTGCTGTTGTGGTTGTTGCTGTCATTGCTGCTGTCGTTGCTGTTGTCGTCGTTGCTATCGTCGTTATTGTCGGTCGTGGTCGTGGTTAATGTCGTGGTTGTCGTCGTGGTCGTCGTCGTTATCATCGTCGTTGTTGTCGACGTTGTTGTCGTCGTCGTTGTTGCTGTCGTTGTTGCCGTCGATGTTGCAGTGGTTGTTGCAGTCGG